CTCAGTTTTCTTTTTTTAAAGAGATGGATAGGTTTATTCTTTTAACTTCCTTTGCCCACCTCTCAAAGACCAAGCACTCCTCGGTGGATTGGCTCACCATCATGCTCGAGTCCCATTTATCTGATGTGTTCCTGCCGTCCTTCCAGTGGGAATAGTACATGTTACCTCTTCCGTCTTCCCCAATGCATTGCTCCTCTTCTTCTGGCTTCCTTAACTTTTCATAACTTATCTTTTTTGTTTTATTACCTTTTTTGTTTTTTAATTACAGTCAACATATTAGTTTCAGGTGTACAGCATAGGGATTAGACATTTATATAACTTACAAGGTGATCACCGCAGTAAGTCTAGTACCCACCTGACACCATCCATAGTTATTACAATATTATTGACTATAGTCTCTAGGCTGTACTTCACATCAGTAAGCTGTGGCTGTTTTTATAACTGGCAGTTTGCACATCTTAATCCCTCCCCCCTTTCACCCTGCCTCAAATCCCTCCATCTGGCAACCATAAAAATGTTCTCTGTATCTATGAGTTTATTTCTGTTTTGTTTGTTTAATTTGCTTTCTTAGATTCCACACATAAGTGAAATCATGTGGTATTTGTCTTTCTCTGTCTGACTTATTTCACATAGCGCATTACTCTCTAGGTCAGCCGTGGGCAAACTACGGCCCGTTTGAAATGAATAAAACTAAAAAAAAAAAAAGACTGTACCCTTTTATGTAATGATGTTTACTTTGAATTTATATTAGTTCACACAAACACTCCATCCATGCTTTTGTTCTGACCCTCCGGTCCAGTTAAGAACCCATTGTGGTCCTCGAGTCAAAAAGTTTGCCCACCCCCGCTCTAGGTCAATCCATGTTGTCACAAATGATAAGATTTCATGGTTTTATGCTGAGTGATATTCCAGTGTATGTACCCTATCTTTTTTATCCATTTATCTTTTGATGGCCACTCAGGTTGCTTCCATATTTTGGTTTTCTTTTTTCTTTTTGTCTTTATTCTACCCCAAACCAAATTTATTGGTGAGGGAGGATTGGACCTAGCCTTGGTGAGCTGGTCATTATATTTCCCCACATTAAATCCTCTTCTCCCTGTGTTTTATGGCTCCATAGTACACCAGCTCAAATGATCTGAATTGACCTTCTGCACCAAACAACCCACTTTATTTCACTCCCTGGAGCGATAGTGAGTTTGTCTTTGGTCCCATTTAAACTTCGCTCTGACTTTGGAAGGGCTACTAGAAACAAGAGTAAAAGAGAGGCATCACACATACCTTGTTAAAAGAGATAGTGAGTAAAGAGTGCCTTAGAAGGGAGAAGCTCCTAAAACTAAAGTGTAATTATGTCATTTTACCATGATGTTGAGCCCCAAACAAGCTAATCACAAAATTGTCTTCCAGTTTTAGAGCCTTATACATTAGGTAATATTTAGAGCCTGATATACATTATAGCCATCTTCATAACAATGTAGTATCATGGGGGTAGGGGGCTGGAGGGAAGAGCATTAACTTGTTTAGAGCCACACACTTACTGCTGTGTAGCTCTGATAAAGTTAATTTTTCTGGGCCTCAGGTACTTTACTGTAAAATGGGGATGATTATATTTCACAGGATTGTGGTAAGTATTGTGGAATGCGTTAAATTACATGACATTCCACCCTTCTCAAAATGATCTGGGCAAAGGGTTCTGAACTAGGAAATGCACAAAGCCAAAGAATAAATAAGCCATCTCTTCCAAGAATGTCAATCAAACTTAGAAATGTGTGGTGGTGGGCAGGGAATATTTTCGTATTTACATAAGAGCAGATACATTATGTGAGGTCTATCTTAGTTCTTAAGGGAAGACTCAATACGTTAAAGAAATGGCATGCTTAGGACAGGCAGCTTCAGTCATACCCCTGGCACCCCTGACATCACTCCTTGGCCATCAGGAGTCTTTCCATGGGAAAGGTGAGAAGCACTGGTACATGAGAGAGTCTAGCAAAGTCAGTATTACACAGCACAGTCTCATTTAACTCCCATCCTCATCTTATGAAGGATCCAACTACATTTCCCTAGCACATGCTTGATGTCTCCTCTTAGGCATGGCTAACACTGAGCTCTCCATCATCCCTCCAAACCTGATTCTCATCCTGGGTCCCCTACCTTAGTAATGGACAGACACCACCATCCATTCAGCTATGCAAGTCAGGAACCGATGGAGTTGTCCTTGACCCCTGTCTCTTTCCTTCACATCCCACGTCTAATCCTTCACTTTAAGTCATGGCATCAATGCCACCTTCAGGTGCCCTGAATGCATCCTTTGGCTCCATCTCCGTCACCAGCATCTTAGTTTAAACTGCCATCATCTCCCGACAAACTGACCTAATCACCTACCACTTAGCCTACTTCCGACCCATTTTTCTCACTAAAGTGGATATGATCTTTCAGATACTCAGCTAGTGTCATTTATTCCCACTGTCCTTAGAATAACATGGTCCATGAGGCCCTGCATGTCCAGCCCCTCTGCCCATCTCCACCTGGGCTGGTGGCTGCAGTTACATCAACTTGCTCTCCTTTTGTCCTCGGCACCGTGATTTCTCCATCAAGAACCATTGCCCAGCCTGCTAGGTCTGGAGTGTTTCCCCGAAGCCCATGCCTGATGGTCATTTGCTGAGACCATGTATCTTCCTCTTCCAAACTCAGCTCAGAGGTCTTTCCTCAGAAAAACCGATTCTAATGCTCCAGCTTAATTATCACACGTTCTGGTAGAACCATGTCCCTTTCTTTTAAGGGGCCATCTCTCAGCTTGTAATCGCACATTAAGTAATGTCGTTTGGTGACTGTAAATTCTATGAGGGTAGGGACTGTCTCTTTGGTCCCCATCACCTCCGGACTAGCAGAGTAGCTTTCCCCACCGGCAGCAGGTCCCTGTTGCTGAGAGTGTGCGGTGAGACAGCTGAGGTCCTGACGGCCCAGTGTGTGGCCCAAGGCCGTCTGTGTTCTACGGATACTTGCAGCCTCAGAACTCCATGCACAGGGCCTGCCCCTCTTGCTGCAGGTACTCTGTTCCGCACTGTGGATCCAGTCCATCCACTTTATTCTGTGGTTTTGAAAAGGCCCGGGAAATCCCATTCTGTTCAAGAGAAATCTGTTCAATGTATATGGTTCAGTAGAGGGTGGCAAAGCGCATCTTTGTGTCACCCACAAGACCTGGTAACAAACTTCTTGCTTAACATCCCACCCTCACCCCCCTACCCCCACCCCCACCCGTCTCCCCTTGCTCTCTTTTCCCACTGTGCCGCAGCCAGTCTTTTTAAAGCAGGCAGGACTTTCTAACCTAGCTGGAGTGGAGGCCCTTATCTTTCCCTTCTCTGGTTGTTCCTCTTCTGCATAAAGAACATCTTTCTGCTCTCCTGCCACCGTGTAGCATGCCATTGGGTATGGGTCAAAACTCCTCCATCGCCCCCAAATCAACACTGCTCCAGGGTCCTTACACCCCATCGCTGATGCTTGTCCTCCCGTACAACCCTCCTGCCCTCACCTCTGTGGGTATATATATCTATATGTATCTGTTTTATTATTATGTTCTCAGTAAGCTATATATAAGTGTAGCCTAACCTGACATTTCTTTTTCTGTCTGGTACACCTTAATTCATTGTAAGTTAACAGAAAGAGTTGGAACATAACTTTTTAAAAATAGTAAGTCCCAAAATATATCATCAGTGATTTTCAGTCTTGATATGGCTGAGAATAGCCCAGAGAGCTTTCTGTTACAATACAGATGTCCAGGTCCCACCTGAGCCTTTTACATCAGAGTAGCTGGGGCTGAGCGCACCCAGACCCACAGAGTGCCCTAAGGTCACAGCCGTGGTATCCGAGATAGAATCGCAGTCCCTGTTCCCTTGCTGGCTTCCTAGTTTTATTGGTGTTATTTGCACTAAATTATACTGTGTGTGTGTGTGTGTGTGTGTGTGTGTGTGTGTGTGTGTGTAAGAGGGAAGGAGAGAGACAGAGAGACTAGTCTGTATCTGAATTTGTCTACATAAAATAGTTTCCTTGTTTTATAACTGGCTTTTCCCCCTGAATAACTGTGCATTGAAATGATGTGGATATTCTCAAGCTGACAAAAGCAACCAAAATCACCTGCCTTCCCTGCACTGGGTATTCACCCAGAACCGCAGTGTCAGCTGCTGGAATGGCTTTCTTATGGGCTGCTCCCTGCCCCGCCCACCTTGGGCCCCAGGCCTGCCTTTAGTGCTGCCCCTCACTGCTCCACTTCTGTGCCCTCTTTCCACTTGAATTGCCCTCTGTCATGCCCATTGATTCGAGAGGAAATCTCCCTTTCCCCCCCTCAGTTCCCACCTGCTGGAGCTTTTGAGTTCCAGTGGGGGGCGGGGTGCATTTTGGTGATTGAACAGTTCATTCCTCACTCAGGGGCTCCAACTTGGAGGGTAGAGAGGACAGCAGTAGTCCTCTGTCTCTCTATCCGAAGAGCTCACTAGGAGATCATTTCATACCATTTTGTAATAGCCAGGGAGCAAAAACTCCTCAGTGAGGCCAGATCTACATGAACTAGAGCTTTAAGAAAGAAATCCCAGCTATGAAAAAATACCATACTCAAAACGTGCTGCGAGGCAGAGGTTAAACTGAGATCAGAGGTGGTGTTTCTGATTTGAATCCTGGTTCCTCTTCTTAGTGACCTTGTGACTGACAGGTGGTTGAGCTTCTCTCTGCTACAGCTTCCTCAACTGTAAATCAGGATTCAGTAAAATGAAATAATGCCTACCTCGTAGGTAATTTGAAGATCATTTTAAAAATTAAGTGAAATGTCTGATTAAAATGCTGATCATAGTATCATTATAATGTTAGGTGATATCATTAACTTTTTACTAGTAAAGTAGAATTTACACAAACTTTCCCATACATTACATTTCAATATGTTGAAATATGATTCCTTTGAAAACGGTTTTTGTTGCCTATTCACAACCACTTCTCTGTTTGTGTTTTGCTTGCAGCGCTGGAAAGGAAAATATCCATGAGGCAAAGCAGAGAGGAGCTGATAAAACGAGGAGTCTTGAAGGAAATTTATGACAAAGGTAAGGGGAACTGGTCCACCCTCCACAGGCTGGGAAGGCGTGCATGGAGTCTGGGTGCGTGTTTCTCAGAGTTGGATACAGTTTTCTGCATCACTTTATCAGGGTTTGAACCTGTAAAACTCCAGACAGTTTTGGAGAGAAAAGAGAATGTGATAAAGCTGTCAGCATTATATGAGGCGGGGACACAAGCTCCCTTGTTCTCAGCATTGGAATCAAACCACAGGATGCTAAGAGAAACGACATGGCTCCAGGAATGATGCGGGTACTGCTTGTGAGCCTGCTGGTGTTCGAATACACACAGCTGGCGTGGATGTAATTGCTTAAGTTCTTTCAGACACTGGGGTTCCCAAGACAAGTGTCAGAAATCCCCAGCATCTAGAATTTCCCTAACAGATTTTTCTGGACAGTCCACTTTCCCACAATAGGCGAAATCGAAGCGAGTAAAATTATAAAGTATAACTGTGCATATGTGATCTTTCAAAAGCCAATAGTTACAGCGATTCCGGTGTTCTGTGAATGTGTCTACAGGTGTTTGCCAATGAATACTGCGTGTCTTTGGCTTATTGGATTACTGCCTTTGAATCAGATGCATGGAGTGGTTCACACAGTATAGTAACTATTCTTCACTCCTTTTTTCTAAGAGTTTTGCTATTTTGAGTTGTACTCTCTCT